GCCTGATGGGGTTCCCTTTGTATGTGATTTGACCCTTTTCTCTAGCTGCCATAAGACTTTCACGTTGACTTTTGGATGCTTTTCACTATGTGTCTTTGGAATGACCATCTTGTGTAGTATCTTATCTCTGAATTTCTTGAATTTGCATGTCAGCTTCTCTAATGAGATTGGGGAAAGTTTTGTGAATTATATTCTAAAATGTGTTTTCCAAAGTACTTATTCTTTCTCCACAATGCCAGTGAGTCATAGATTTGGTCTCTGTATGTGATCCCATATTTCTCAGAGGTTTTGTTCACTTTTAAAAATTCTGTTTTCTTTATTTTCATCTGACTAGGTTGATTCAAAGGACCAGACATCAAGCTCTATAATTTTTTCCTCTGCTTGGTTTAGTCTGTTGTTGAGGCTTCCAATTGTGTTTTGAAATTCCTATAGTGAGTTGTTCAATCCCAGAAGCCCAGTTTTCTTCTTTCTTAAAATGGCTATGTCATCTTTTAACTCTTGAATTATTTTACTTGCTTCCTTTGTTAGGTTTCAACTTTTGCTTGGATCTCATTGTACTTCCTTACCATCCAGATTCTGGATTCTAAGACTATTATTTCAGCATTTCAATCTGGTTAGGATCAATTGCTGAGGAGCTAGTGTGATCCTATGAGGGTTAGAAAACACTATGACTTTTTGAATTGCTGGACTTCTTTCACAGATGCTTTCCTGTCTGAGAGGGCTTGTGTTTATTTATCTTTTTGAAATTGCTGTCATTTGGATATGACTTCTGGTTTCTATATTCCTATTCTTCCCTTGAGTGTTTGACTGTTGTGTATGTTGGAACAGTTCATTGGTTTAGTTTCTGGGTTCTTTCAGAAGGCCAAGGATCTTTATGAATTTCTCCTTCCCTTCCTTCCTTCCTTCCTTCCTTCCTTCCTTCCTTCCTTCCTTCCTTCCTTCCTTCCTTTCGTTCAAGTTTTGTTGTTGTCACCTGGGGTAGAGTGCAGTGGTACAATCTCGGCTCACTGCAACATCCACCTCCCATGTTCAAGTGATTCTCCTGCCTCAGCTTCCCAAGTCACTGGGATTCAGATGTGGGCCACTACACTAGGCTAATTTTTTTTTTTTTTAAGAAGAGATGAAGTTTCACCATATTGGCCAGGCTGGTCTCGAACTCCTGACCTCAGGTGATTCACCTGCCTTGGCCTCCCAAAATGCTGGGATTATAGGCATGAGCTACTGTACCTGGCCTCTACGGATTTCTTAGTTGTGGCTAGTTTCTTGCATTGGTTTTCACAGGCTAACTGTGTTGAGGGAATTAATTTTGTTTGGTAGTGTAATTCTGGCTTCAATCCCATAGATGGTGCTTTGGAGTAAGAGCTGGTAGATAGGCTCTTACTCAGCTGCATAACTCTTTTGTATATCAGTGTGCTTGGAGCAGGCCTCTGAGGAGGGGGAAATAGTTGGCAGGGAGGCAAGAAATGCCTTTCTCACAAAGTTTGTTCCCTAGCCTTCAGAGAATCCCCTTCAATCACTGGTGCTACACTCCGTCTTTCTTAGCTCCAAAGAAGTCCCTGGACAGCTGCACAGCCTCCATCTTTAAGGCCAGGGATGTCCAATCTTATGACTTCTCAAGACCACATAGGAAGAAGAAGAATTGTCTTGGGCCACACATTAAACACACACTAATGATAGCTGATGAGCTAAAAAAAGTTGCCAAAAAAACTCATAACGTTTTAAGAAAATTTACAAATGTGTGTTGGGCCACATTCAAAGTCTTCCTGGTCTGCATGCAGCCCATGGGCCCAGGACAAGCTTGCTTTAGGGGCAGCCTGAGCCAAAGGTTAGTCCTCCAAATGTCCAGGGACCTGCTGATTCCTTGTGCTTGGAAGAGTCTGAGTGGGATATGGGGTATGTCTGCAGGTGTCTGTGGATGCTGTGGGTCAAGGGTGAAGGTCCCCTGGATAGGGTGGATGGTGCCATGGGTGTGCAGCTGGTGAAGTATGCACATCCTGGAGTTTTTTGCTCAGCAGTTGGCTTTGAGGACCATAAAACTCATGCTCCCCTCACCAGGTTTTCTGTGATGTGTACTTTTAGGTAAGGCCTGACCAGCTAGTTTTGCCCCAAGCTTTCTGAACCCAAATCTTTGGCCTGATATGTGTTCCAGGTCACAGGTTTCCCTTGGATGGAGTCTGTGGCCAGCCAACAGGCTATGCTTTTTCCGGACCAGTCTTGTAGAAGGAGGCACACCCAGCTCCTGTGCCAGCACATGAATCTGTGCCTCACTCTTCTCATTGTTCTGAGAGTTGGGGGTGCCACCCCAGTTTGAGCTCAGGCCACAGATATCAGCTCAATACCCCTTAACTGTGCACTCAAACCCTGGGAAGTTGGGACGGGTCTTGTAGCTATATCCTCTGGTACCTCAGGGTCAAGCATTGGCTGTGCTGGAGTGGGCAAACTGCTTTCAGGCTGCCAGACAAACACTCAGGTGAGGCAGTGGAGGCTGTGCTATGTGTACACCCTTGAGGGAGCAACCAGGCAGGAGCTGGAGAGGGACAGGCAGACAAGGGGGTGTGCAAATCAAATGCACTTCAGGCCCTTGGGGAAGGCAGCCCTGCTCTCTCCTGGTTTGGCTGTCAGCAGGGGCTAAAGTAACTCAGAAAGATGGAGAGCCTTGGGGGATGGGTGCCTATTCTCATATTTTCCTGCAGCTACCTCATGCATGAAATCTTTTGGGCTCCATGCATGTTCAAGCTCTGCCTCTCCCTACTCTCTTGGCAGTTCCCTCTGCCAATTCAAATGTCTGTGTGTATCATGGGATCTCTTGTACCTAGGATCTCAGAGGTCCCTGGCAGGATTGTGTGACCTCTAGTTCCTTCACTCTCTCCTTCCTTAGGTCCAATTCTGGACCAAGAGCTGGTCCTGGTGACTGGTGACTCCATCTGGCTTCCTAGCTTCCTTCCTCTTCAAACTCAGTGTCTGCATTGCCTCTCTATTGCCTTTGAGTGCTTTTTCCCCCCAAAATCTGTTCAAAGCGTGATGGCTTACTCAATATTTTGTTTTCTCTCTGTGGAAGACATGTTTCCTGGCTGCATCTGGTTGATCATCTTGTTCCCCAGTTAAAAATGTAATTGATATTTTGATATGGTTTGGCTCTGTGTCCCAACCCTAATCTCATCTCAAATTATAATCCCTATGTGTGGAGGGAGAAACCTGTGATCCCCACATGTCAAGGGAGAGATGTTATTGGATCATGGGAACAGTTTCCCCCATGGTGTTCTCATGATAGTGAGTGAGTTCTCATGAGATCTGATGGTTTTATAAGGGCTCTTCCCCCTTCTCTTTCTCCTCTCTCTCCTGCCACCATGTAAGATGAGCCTACTTCCCCTTCTGCTGTGATTGTAAGTTTCCGGAGGCCTCCCCAGCTATGCAGAACTGTGAGTCAATTAAACCTCTTTTTAAATACATTTTACTCAGTCTTGGGTAGCGTCTTTATAGCAGTGTGAAAATAGACTAATACGTATTTTAATAGCGATCGTATTTAACCTATAGACTCCTTCAGGTAGTATTTTAACAATATTAATTCTTTAAATTCATGAGCATGGGATATATTTCCATTTGTTTTTGTCCTCTACCATTTCTTTCATCAATGTTTCATAGTTTTCTTGCAGGGGAGCTCTATCACTTCCTTGGTTAAATTTGTTCCTGAGTAGTATTTTATTATTTTTTAGCAATCATAAGTGGTATTGATTTCTAGTTTTATTCCATTGTGGTTTGAGAAGATACTTGATATGATTTCAAGTTTTTAAAATTTGCTAAGACCTGTTTTCTGGCCTAATGTATGGTCTATCCTGGGGAATGTTCTATGTGCCGATGAGAAGAATGTGTATTCTGTAGCCATTTGATGAAATGTTCTAAGAGTTTGTTTGAGGGGTCTAGGTTTTTTATATACAGGATCAGGTCATGTGCAAAGAGAAATTTCAATTTTTCTTTCCCAATTTAGATGCCCTTCATTTTTTTCTCACCCAGTTGCTCTGACTAGGACTTCTAATACTGTGTTGAATATGAGTGCTGAATGTGGGTATCCTTGTCTTATGCCAGTTCTTAGAGGAAAGACTTTCAGCTTTTCCTCTTTCAGTGTAATGTTAGTTGTGGTTTTGCCATATATGGTCTTTATTGTGTTGAAATATGTTCCTTCTATGCCTAATCTGTTGGAGGTTTTATCATAAAGATTCATTAATTAGAGTCTTATTTTCAAGTCTTCTTCTCACAGTGATTTATTGGTTTAGGTTTGGATAATTTAATATGGTGTTCCTAAAACTTTTTTAGAAATTATGGGGAATAACAAAGGGTGTGAGGGGGCAAGAGACTTTGTACTAAGAAGTGACTTAGACGGAGTGCAGTGGCACACACCTGTAATCCCAACACTTTGGCAGGCTGAGGCAGACAGATCACTTGAAGCCAGGAATTCAAGATCAGTCTGGCCAACATTGTGAAACCTCATTTCTATTAAAAATACAAAAAATTAGCTGGGCATGGTGTCAGGTGCCTGTAATCACAGCTACTCAGGAGGCTGAGGCAGGAGAATCGCTTGAACCCAGGAGGCGGAGGTTGCAGTGAGCCAAGACCATGCCACTGCACTCCAGCCTGGACAACAAGAGCGAGATCCCACCTCAAAAAAACAAAAACAAAAAAAACAAAAACAAACAATAAAGAAGTGACTTGGAGCCATTTTAAAGAGGAAATATATTACACAATCAGGAAAATGAAAGCCTACTATCACATAAAAATATTGTGTGGCAAAGATGATGTGAGTAAAACATACATTTTTGTGATTCCTGGTGGTTTTAAATTTGTTTTTGATTTTCTAAGTAATTCAAAGATCCATGTTTTTAGAATCTACTACAGTATAGATAACATTTTATTGCAACTGAATTTATTTAAAAAATGATTAGTTTTATGTTAGACTATTCTGTCTTCTTTCTTCATTACAAAACCATATTATTTTACTTATGCAGCCTGATATTACAGAAGCAGTGGAAACTGCATCTTCAGAAGGTCTACATGTGGATGCAGAGATTGAAGTTCTTCAACAGTCATTATTATATATGAAAACAATGCAAGAAAAGCGCAAAATACTACGGAAGGATCAGGAGAAGTTGGAAGAAGAACTAGTAAACCTCAAAAGTCACATGGAAATGAATATGTTAGAATGTGACCAATTGGAACACTATAAACAGGAGGTCGAAGAAGGAGCAAGGCAGGAGATAGCAGAACAATTAGAAACCATTGATCTAATTTTACAGGTTAGTTTATTATCAGGAACGTGCCTTCATTCATTTCACTGCAAATTATATTTTGGATATATACATAGTATATGTTTCCTCTCCTTCACTTATAGCAATTTGTTTGGTAGATTTCTAGAAGGAAGGTGGTATCTGTTTCTCTCTTTAAATATTTCACTTGCCATCATTATTGTAACTAAATTGATCTTCCATAATAATGATTCTCATTAGTGAATCATTTGATTACTAAGACAAGTGGCATGAAACAAGACTAATAGAGAAAGAAAAATGTGATTTAGAAATTATACTATACTCTTGAAGTATTCTTAAGTTATATTGCTCAATTTTTCAGAATTTAAATTGATTTTATTATTCTTTGGAGTGTTACATTTCATGAGTACTACTATAAGCATGATTTAATATTTTTGCAATTCAGATTAAGTTATTAATTTAGTTGATACTCATAATAAATATATTAAATTTCAGTTGCTTTTTTTCACATACTTAGAAATGCTCTCTACATCACCGACCTAAAACAAAAAGAAACAAATACACAATAATTATTCAGATTATAATTATTTGTTTAATGTACCCTTTCAATTTGTTTTAGACACAGAAAATAGCCCATGACAAGTTACAGTTTTTAACAGAGGAAAGCAATGCTACTATGAAAAGTCAGATGGAACTTACAATTAAAGATCTGGAATTCAAACTCTACAAAGCAAAAACTTCACAAGCAGACTGTAATACAACAGAATTGGAAAAATATAAGGAACTGTATCTAGAAGAATTAAAACTTAGAGAATCTTTGTCAGATGAACTAAACAAGTAAGTCAAAACACAGAATCATAGAAAATAAATGAAGCTCATTAATTTGCCTCAAAGGCATAATTTTTAGTGAGACAGGTTCATGAGATTAGGGGGAAGTGAAAGCTAACTAGGTTAAACAATTCTGGAAAATGATGTTAGTAAATGAGCTTACCTTTAAAATATTAATCCACCAGTGGCTCACCAGAGGTCAGGAGCTCAAGACCAGCCCAGCCAACATTGTGAAACTAAAAATACAAAAATTAGCCGGGCATGGTGGTATGCTTCTGTAATCTCAGCTACTTGGGGGGCTGAGGCAGGAGAATCACTTGAACCCAGGAGGTGGAGGTGTCAGTGAGCCAAGATCACGCCACTGCACTCCAGCCTGGGTGACAGAGTGAGACTCCATCTAAAAAAAAATAATAATAATAAAATAAAAAAATTTAAAAAAAGTTAATACAGGACAATTCATGTCACTCCCCTCTTTTTGGATGTGTTTTTTTGTTTGTTTTGTTTTTTGTTTTTTTGAGATGGATTCTCACTCTGTCACCCAGGCTAGAGTACAGTGACACAATCTTGGCTCACTGCAACCTCTGCCTCCCAGGTTCAAGCAATTCTCCTGTCTCAGCCCCAACCTTTCATATTCTCACCACTCCTGGCTAATTTTGACATTTTCGGTGGAGCTGGAGTTTCACTATCTTGGCCAGGCTGGTCTTGAACTCCTGACTTCAAGTGATCTGCCCACCTCAGCCTCCCACAGTGCCGGGATCACAGGCCTGAGCCATCGTGCCTGGCCTGTTTTTTGGTTTTATATGGCTCTTTATCCCCTTAATATTCTTATGTGGTTAACCTGATCTATTAGTCTTTCAGCCAAGTTTCTTTGAAGCTTCATAATTTAGACAGTGATATTGTTACACAATTGTTTGTCAGCATTCCCCTATATAGAAATATTAATGAATTGAATTATTTTTTATAAGATTACAACTTAAACTGAAAAAGGGTCAGGTACTTCTACTCCTCTGCACATTCTGGCACTCAGTAAATTAACTGTCATTGATTGCGACCTTTGGTAGTATCATTAGAGGCCACCTTGGAACAAAGTATTTTGTATAGTTTTTCGACGCCACATAAAGGCATACTTGTGAAATAGGGAATAATTAACACAGGGTTGAAAGGAAATCTAATTCACAAAGTGGTGAAAAATAACACCTTGGTCAGCCTGAGGTGGTAGGTGGAATACCAAAAGGGCAGGCCCCACTTCTGATGCGTGGGTCACAATTTTAGGAGTTAATCACCCTTGGAGATGATTGAGTTCTCTTTGACCTTGGCTATCTCCTTCTCCCCAGGGAATTGTTGCTCTGAATGATTCCTCAGTGTCAAATGCTTCTCAAATAATGGGTGAAATGTACAAGGGTGGTAAAAAGACATGCTTGAAAGTGTCTTTGAGAGATAGTTTTTTTTCTGTAACTGGCTTACTAAATACAAGTATTTCTAGCTTTATTTTACTTTTAGTTATTTCACTGGAGTAAAATATTTTTGGATTTATAGTTTTGGATATATTTTGGTACTCCTGTATATCTAAGGAGTACCACATGATGTTTTAATATATTTATACATAGTCTAATGGTTATTCTAGTCCAGCAAATTAAGATGTTTATCATTTCATATAGTTACCCTTTAAACACAAGTATTTATTTGCTTTTTTACTTTTTTTTGTTTTGAGATGGAGTTTTGCTCTTGTCCCAGGTTGGAATGCAGTGAAACGATCTCGCCTCCCGGGTTCAAGTGATTCTCCTGCCTCCGCCTCCCAAGGAACTGGGATTACAGGCACCCGCCACCATGCCTGGCTAATGTTTTGTATTTTTAGTAGAGACAGGGTTTCACCATGTTGGCTGGGCTGGTTTTGAACTCCTGACCTCAAGTGATCCACCTTTTTTGGCCTCCCAAAGTGCCTGGATTACAGGCATGACCCACCACGCCCAGCCTAAACACAAGTATTTCTAATGGCATCCTTAAGAATCTTATAAGTAGAGCCATTTCAGAAGGCAACAAATGTCACCTGTTAGTCCACACATCATTGATAGCTTTCGCTCTTCCCTCCCTACTTTGTTTGAATTACTTGTTAAAAATCCTCTAGAAGTACATGTAGTTCTTTAGAACAATTTAAAAATTAAAACTGTGTACAGTACACATGCTCTCATACATTTTCAGAGTTAAAACATAGTTTGTGGTATCTTTCATTGACTCATGGTGACTTTTTAAACAATGCAAATCATTTAGACATAATTTGTAAAAAAACCCAAAATACTCAGTATCTGTGTTTTGCAATCTTCACAGACGTAAAGAAATTCTAGCAGACGTCAGTACCAAACTTCTTCAAGAAAAAGAGCAGAGCGGATCTTTATTTACTTCTCATACTACAAGGGCAGTCCTACAGTCAGCATGCAATGGAAATCTTAATGAAAATTTAGGTCTCAACAGAATACATATTCCAACAGAAACCTTAAGGATTCCTACCTTAAGCTCATTGTCTTCAAATATCAGAATGGAGAGCGACTTGTCAAAGGTTAGATATAGCATCATTTTTTCTTTCCTTCTCAGACTTCTGATATAATTCTTGTATTTTTTTTGCAAAATATTGAGTTGTCTAATTGACTTATGTATTTAAGTAAAGGTCATAATTAACTGTGTTTTTAAGGAAAGGAAACAAACTTTACAGCCTTTTTTAAAAGTCCTTGGAGCTCTCATTGTCAAGAGATATTCATTTGTTAACTTTATTCGATAAATGTAACTAAACCGGCACATTTTAAATTTCTGTAAAAATTGCATTTAAGTTAGATTTTGGAAATGAAATGGTATTGCCTGACAACTAAAGGTATACTTTGAGATGGTTTGGCTTACTTTCTAATTGATTTTAGTTTGGCTTGGGTTCATAATGCTTTTAAAGTTTTCCTGCAGCATCTCAAGGTTCCCACTTCTAATCAGATGTGAATGATTGATATCAAACACCTGACCACATATGGATGATTATTATGTAAAGGAATCTAAGACAAATACTTTTTATGAATTCTATGAATCTGTAACATTAAAAAAGATTTCTTCTGTTTTTCAGTTTAAAGTTTTGTGATTTTCTTACATGAGTACATCCTTAATTGCTATTGTACTTATAGCATTTTAATATCAATTGTTATAAAATGTTCTTGTTGCTGTGCAATCATACAGCAGGTTTTAAATACTTAAAGCAATATTTGAATTCATAAAGTGAAGCTCACTTATGTCTATCTTACCATCACTTGAATGATTTATGGCTAAGATGACAATGATATCAAGAGTAGTTAAATAGCAAATGTGACCAAATAGAATCCATTCTACTTCCTATTCAGAATTCCATGTAAAACTGCACAGGGTTCCCATCTCCCTGGGACATGACCCTTTCAATGTTTCAAGGTTCAATTGAACAAGAACCTTGCAATCCAACTGTTAGGGTGGCATTAGTCAGATATGAGCAGGCAGGAGGAAAGGTAGCTATATGGGAAGGAACACCCCAAAACGACTCTTAAGGTGCTTAGTAATCACTCATTCTATGGTTGAACTGTCAGATGTGTTAGCTACATTCAGATAAAGAAGGGGAAAGGCAAAAGGGATGGCTATACAACCTTTCTGGGTGGCAGCAATGAGCAATGCCACCATTGGGTAGAATTTATCTTGATCACTGGGTTCTGCACATGTGCATTAACCAGGAGTAAGGGAGAGCCCCCTAAGCCTGGGTGTGAACTGGGCAAGAACAAAGGCAGGAACCCAAAGAAGAAAGTGAGGAAAAAGGTCAAATGCAGAGTGTACTGGGGCTGCTCCCAACCAAGTTGGCCCACTCTTCTCTTAAAGCTTACTGTCACTTCTGCAATACATTTTTTGCTAGATTTACTAACTGATCTTTTGGCTGAATTCTTTCTTGCAAGAAGACAAGAACCGAGGACACTTTCTGGAACTCCAGGCTTGGCAATATCTCTCAGTGTTGTGACTCGCATGCTGTCCTGAGGTAAGGGATACGCTGCCTGCTGTCTCCTCTCACATGTCTGCTCCTATCCGGCATAGTCTGTGAGAATGCTGAGCATGCCGATCAAGCTCCCTGGCATCTCCGCTTTGTGTGCTCAGCTGAAGCACTTCTACCTAATGCCCGACAGAGCCCCTCCAGGCACTGAATGTTTTCTTCTTGCCAGAGACCCTAAGGCTTCTGATTACTTCCACATTCTCACAACTGACTTCTGGGGACTCACCACCCTGTCTTTCTTCACAGTTGGTCCTGCTGCCGATGCCATCACAGCATCTCTCTTGCTAGCCAATGCCACCTACTTTTTCCTCTTCTTTTCCCAGATAGGCTCCAATAGAGTGGCTTTTTTTTTTTTTTTGTGAGACGGAGTCTCGCTCTGTGGCCCAGGCTGGAGTGCAGTGGCCGGATCTCAGCTCACTGCAAGCTCCGCCTCCCGGGTTCACGCCATTCTCCTGCCTCAGCCTCCCGAGTAGCTGGGACTACAGACACCCGCCACCTCGCCCGGCTAGTTTTTTATATGTTTTGGTAGCCAGGATGGTCTCGATCTCCTGACCTCGTGATCCGCCCGTCTCGGCCTCCCAAAGTGCTGGGATTACAGGCTTGAGCCACCGCGCCCAGCCTAGAGTGGCTTTTTGAATGCTCTGTCACTGTCTCCTCTGCACTAATTCCATCTCCCGAAGGAATTTAGGTAAATTTCAGGTGCTATGGTCTTGGTTTAGGGTTCTCCTGGATGTAGCTACTACCCAAAACTCTTTCCATGTTCTGACCCCTGAATTCTCCGGGATTTACTAGTCAACTTCCCTCTTGTCTCTGGCCCTCCCCACTGTCCTTGACATGCTTTGCCTGTATGCAGAGGGTTATCACACAAAAAGCTACAAAATTATAATTGGGCACAGTCATCTATAATTATGGACCTGGGGGATCAACAGACCAAATGAGGCAAAGAGGTCACCTCTCAATAGGGAGCATGCAATAAGGGTGCATGAAGTGTGAAGCTCCTCAGAAGCTAGGGATGCCTGGCCTAGTGTGGGAAAGAGATGGAGAGGATGTTCTTCCCCTTTCATAATGGATGAGAATGGACAGGATGCTCACTCTCCCCTGGCCTTTACTTCTGTCTGTCTTTCAGATGGACATTCAACACCCCACACTGTAGGAGTCACCCCTTGGATGCATTCTCAAAAGTTAGGACAAGATTGATTCCTAGACATTAAAGAAAAAGATGTTAGTTTTCTTTTGTAACTCTTCATGGCCTCAATACAAAACTATATGACTATGGAAGTCTGGCCAGAAAATGGTAGCCTTAATTTTAATACCATCTTGCAGCTGGACTTGCTTTGCAGGTGACAGGGTAAATAGTCAGAGGTACCCTATGTCCAGGCCTTTATGGCTCTAAAAGAAGATCAGAATCTCTCCAAAAATGCAAACTAGACCGTGCCATTTTGGCTCTTGTGAGCCCCTCAGTGGGTAATTCTCCTATAAATGGCTTAGGAAATTTCCCAGCAGAGCATCCTCAGCCTCCTTTAATTCATCCTCCCACTGAGGATCCAAAGCCACCAGTCCCTTGTACTCACCAGAGGAATAGGAATGGGCACTGGGACACGAGGCCCCGGAGGCTGGTATCAACTGTGAAAGGTCCTACATCTGTCTTAAAATGTTCAATGGAAAGTTAGCTATGTTTTGCATGACTCCTGCCACTTTGGCAAGAAAAAACTTTCAATAATGTGCAAATGGCTCTTTTGGGGAAAAAAATCTTTCCAAGACTCTCGAACAAGTTTGCAGGGCCTGTGCCCTTTGTACATTAAACATCTCACAAGGAGCCGAACCTCCTTTTCTTTTCCAGCCAGTCCAATGGGGGAGCACTTATGCTGGGGAGGACTGGCAGTTTGACTTCAACTGACTTCCTGCCTGTCAAGGGTATAAATATCTTCTGGTCTTTGTAGACACCTTTCCAGGTTGGATAGAAGCTTACCCAGTGTGAATGGGAAAAGCAATGAGGGTAGTAAAGGCCCTCAAGGAGGTCGTCCCCCGGTTTGTCATTCCCAGGTCACTGCAAAGTTATAACAGTACATCCTTCACCTCACAGTTTACTCAACTTGTTTCTCGGGCCTTGGGAATCAGTTACTTTCGACTTTTCTCCTGGCATCCACAACACTCTGGAATGGTTGACAGAATTAACCAAATTCTCAAGCAAATCTTGGAAAAATTATGCCAGGAAACCTCAAAGCCATGACCAGAGCTATTATGTATTGCTCTACTAAGGCTGAGAAACATACCCACCTCTAACTTACAACTCAGTTCTTTTGAGTTATTATGTGGAAGATCCTTTCTTCACTTTCCTGTTGGATACTGAAACTTACCAACTCACTAATTATGTTACTTCTCTATCCCAGTCTCAGCAGGGAATTCAAAAACTGGCCAAAAGATATTTTCACATCCTGAAAACTCTGACCAAATTTTATACCCTCCAAGTACTCAAGTTCTCATTAAGACTTGGAAGGATGGAACTCCAAACTCTCAACTGAGTCTTATTTGGAGAGGTCCTTACACTGTTTTGCTCTCCACTCCTACAGCAGTTATGGTGCCAGGGATCACCAGGTGGATCCACTACTCCAAGATAAAGCTGTGTGACTCATCTCTGGCAGAGGAAGTCGTAAAGGCCCCACTGGACACCTGGACCACTGAGCCCCTCCAGGGTCTCAAACTCCTCTTCGAGCAAATCCAAAAGAATAAAGATAAGTAAATTAGTAATGCTTTGGCCTGTTATACCATAAATCATAATACTCCTTGCAGGTTTACTAATATGTCTTTGCTACTGTGAACCAACACCACCCCCCACCCACCCTACCGCCCCAGGAAAAGGTCTCTTCTGCCCTACCTGGATTTAAATCTCAAAGCCATTATCTGGGTGGTGTTCTCTCTAACACTCACTGAGTTAATAGCTTTTTTCCCATAATCAACAGACATCTTAATTTGGCTCTAATCTGCTCTCTTTGGGACCATGCAGCCAAATGCTCTATGCTCCCAGCTAAAATCACCCTCATAGGCCCCAACAGCCCACAACTATATATAAAAAAAAAATCTACAAGCAGCTCAACAGCTACTAAAGTTCACCAAATCTTCCTATCCCTCAACCTATGGGCTATGCACGAATTAGTTCTATCTAGGGCAGGAACAGCCTACTCAGCCACGATACAAGAATAGGCAACTTCTCAAACCCAATTTAGCTTCACCTATCACTGGGGCTTCTCTATACAAAACCTTCCCAGAGATGCATACAGTACCTAACACAAGCAAAGGGGACTTTCAAGCTTTTCTTAACACTTGCACTATTTTAGGCCCCTTGTTCTCCCCCATCACCTTCAGTCAGGTACCCCTAGGCATCACTACTGCCAGAGATTCTGAAACTTTTGTGGGTTCTCTCAACCCTGAGCACTGCAACACAACCATCACGATTGTCAATACCTCTCATATATATATATATTTTTTTTCTAGAAACTAAAATCTCCCAATACCAAGTAAGGTTCTCTACCTTACCAAGCCAGGAGGGGTCACGCAAAAATTTCAAATCTTTAACTCCCTTTGGAAGCTCTTCTCCTTGACATTACTAGACACATGCTCTTCTGGGAAAATAAGAACCATCTTCCTACTCAAACTAGTCACTCATGTCTGGCTCTCCTAGCAGCTCCAACTTTAGTGACAGAATATCACATCTTGCATAGCCAATGAGGATATTGGTAATGTTTGGAATTGACTTTGCTTCCTTCCATATCCATTCTTGTCTACCTATGACAGAACTTTGCTTTCTGTGTGGGACACAGGCCCACCTATGCTTCTCTGCAAAGTGGACCAGAACACCCATGCTGGCTTACCTAACCCCTAGCATCTCATTGCCCCAGGTGATGCTTCTCGGCCCTTGCTCTTATTACTGGGGCCCACCAAGCAATTCAATTAATTCCCTTTCTTGTTGGGCTTGGCATTACCACAGGTGCCACAATAGGAATAGCCAGCATTGGCACTTACTCCTGAACCTACCACAGCCTGTCTCTGGAATTGGTTCAAGAGATAGAAATGACTGCTTGCTATAAAAGAGTTACAGTGACAAGTCAGTTCTCTTGCAGCTGTAGTTCTCAAACGTGGTAGAGGTCTTGACATGCTGGTTGCAGCTCAGGGAGGAACTTGACTGCTTGGAGAAGAGTACTGATCTGGGTTAAGAGATCAGGGCAGGCTCAGGAGCACATTTGAGATCTCATAAACTAGGCTTCTCATCTTTGGGAAGGGGCTGCTGAGGGGTGTCACCTGGTTCTGATTCTCATGGCCCCTCCCCTTCCTGGGACCCCTGACCTCTATCTTCTTTCTTCTCTTTTCTGGGCCTTGCTTCTTGAATCTACTAACTAAGTTTATTTCGTCCCATCTAGAAGCCGTCAGACTTCAAATAGTCTTGTGACAAGGATATCAACCTCTTTCCTAACCTTGAGGACAAGCAAGTTTCTGCATGTCTCCTCTGGACACTGTGGGTCAAACCTTTTGAGAGACAACAACAACCTCTGAAAGCTTCTTGCCATGACAGCAAGCAAGGAGGAGGGACCAGAAGACCCTCGACGCCCCTTTGCAGCAGGAAGTAGTTACAGAAGAATGACCTCCGCCCTATTTCCCAAAAGATTTCTGGGTCCCAACTCCTTAAGAGATAAATGTAAGAGGAGGCAGTTAGTCAGATATTAGCAGGTAGGAGGGGAAGTACCCATGTTGGAAGGAACAGCCCAGAACACCTCTTAAGATGCCCAGTACTCACTCTATGGTGGAACTGTCAAAGTGTGGTTAACTAGATCCTGATAAGGGAGAAAAAAGGCAAAAGCAGAATTCTTGAGAGCCACACAGGTGCAATGAGTACAACTTTGATGGCTATATGCCCTTCCCGGGTGGCAGTAATGAGCAATGTTCCCATTGGGTGGGATTCGTATTGATCACTGTGTCCAGTGCACGTCCATTAACCACAGTAAGGGATGATACCCCAAGCCTTGGTGAGAAGTGGGCAAGGAAAAAAGCAAGACCACAGCATATCAAATGCAGAATATCCCGGGGCTGTTTCCAGCAGGGTCAGCCCACTCCTCTTTTGGAGTGTCCTTTTACTTCCCCAATAAAACTTTTGCCTGCTTTACTAATTGGTCTTTTGAGCGAATTCTTTCTTTGAAGAAGACAACCAAGAACACTCTGGAACACCCCAGATAGGTAACATCAACATGAGAGTTCACTCATAATAGGAGTCCATTTCTGGGGATCTCGAAGTGAATCCAATAATGACAAAGTGTATCAATTACAGAATTGGTAAGGAAAAAAATAGTTCAACTATGCTTGACTGACTTTAAGAACTTTGTCTAAGGTTTGACCATCTTTCAACTGTTGGAAAATTACAAAAACTGGGTGCAATGGCACACAACTGTAGTCCCAGCTACTCCAGATGCTGAGGCGGGAAGATCACTTGAGCCCAGGGATTCAAGGTTGTAGTGTGAAATGATGGTGCACTGCAGCCTGGGTAACATAGCATGACCCTGTCTCTCGAAAAGATTACAAAAATTATAAAATATTTGTTTTCACAAAAATAAATAAGTAAATTTTAACTAGTTTTTTGTGTCTCATTGTTATTAAAAAATTCAGTCAATGCACTTTGGCTCATAGTTTTGGTGGTGTTTTTATGATCTTAATGCACAGAAAAGTAATAATAGACCCATGTTAAATGAGGCCTTAACCTTCTTTCTTTACCTGGGTTCATGTCCCAACACATCAGGGAAGAGCAAATCTAAAGTTTTTAAGAAAGCATTGCAGCCAAATAGCTTAAAAGAGAACAAATTAAATCCTTGTTTTAATACATAAATTACAAAATCCTAGGTAGCAGATTTAAAAAATCGTATTGTTAGTTTTGTTTTATTTCTCTGCAAAAAAGATGATGAGAGTCTAAGTGCTTCAGAATCGTAAAATTCTGCCACTGGGTACAAGAAGAAAATGAAAAATACTTCTGTAAACTGTTAAGCATGATTTAAATATAAATGTTCTAATTAGTTTTTACCAGCAAAATCGAGTAATATATCATTTCACAAGATGACAATGAAAGAGGGTATAGATGCAGATGCGGTGCCAGGGAAGATTTTTGAGTCAAGGGGTGTTTATTTTTAGTATTTCTAGATAAGTTGAAAAATAGTTTATTTTAAACTTAATGTAGTAGTTCCAAGGCAGACTTGGTTCCCTTGTGATGCGCTGGTTTGCCAAATTAGGTTAGACTTAGTAAAAGAGATTAAAAATGATTCTCTCAAGATACAAAGGGGTAAATCCATAATCACTACAAGATCCCTTAAAAGAGTTTTAATATAGTTGCCACCTACAAAATGCTTAAGTTAAAGAAAGAAGATGCCTTCTAGAGTTGCTAGAAAGTGTAAGTTGATTTCAAACAGTGATGAACTTTCTGAATGCCTCTTCCATGTTGGATTTTACTATGATATCATTTTCAAACAGTTAAAAGCCACTTTTTTATTCTGCAATAAGCTAAAGGATGGCATAACAAGAAGCAAGGTCAATGAAGATATCCAGAGAGTAATGTATGAATATCATATCCATCGAGTGCTGTTAGACTGTTTTTTGCAAATGGCATTTGTCATGGCCACAAGATGCAGAAAGACAGAAAGAAAAGCTGTTTTTCCACCAACGATGGGCAAATTGATAGTTTTCAAAAATCTGGAGAGGGAAATGAATATATACATAAAGGTCATCAAATCTACCTACAGAAAGTCACTGTGAGGTGTGTGGTTCTTTACAAACAAATATGGGCTCCGTTTTATCAAGACTTGAACAGATTGTGTTCATGTACAGTAAACAAACACAACCTCATGATAACTTGCTTCTAGGAATCATGGAAGCAAATATCACAATTCGGGTGCTTGGAAACCCTGGTGAAGTGCCTCCATGAGTAGTTCTAGGCAACACATCTGAAATAGCTAAATATTTACCTTGTGACTCCAAGTATATTGGATTTCAGGAATGAGAAACAAGTCCACATTGTGAGATGACAGTGAGTGATATGATGAGAATGGAAATCAAGGACTTTCATTATGTTTCATTCTTGTGGAGAATTCAAAAACTAATTGAAGAGATCCCAGGAACACTTCTTCATGAGGCAGTTTTTAAACTTATTTTGGCCTTGAGGCATTTCAACTTATTTTGGCCTTAAAAGACCAAAATCTTGATTATTCTGTGGCAGTGCCCACTTACAGAACAATAAGAAATGTGGATTACCTCAATCTAGGATTTGTTCTTTCTGGCATGACAAGGGCCTTTTTGATAGAAGTGCCTTGCATCACATTTCGGATGACAGATACATGTGATATAATCCCACAGAATGTCACAAGCTTAGCAGAAGCTATTAGGAAAAGTAAAGGGAAGAATGATCCAGAATTCTATATTGATTGTCAGGGGACAATATTCATTTCTGCAATCAGGCATGTGTCTTTTGAAAGGGTTTATGATAGCAAAACCCACAAGGGCAACTGGCACTCTGAGGTGTTCACTCTACACACCTCAGACCCCTACAATGTAATAAAGGTGACAGCCAAGATAGAAAGACACAAACTCACACTGTTCGATGAGCGATTTTTGGAAGTTGAGACTGATAAAACGTGCATTTACTCAGAAGATTATTTTCCTGTTAGCACCTCCGGGTGTAAGTTTGACAATAATTTGTATTGGGCTGATGACACAATGGGGAAACATAAACTACTGGCACTGGGCTTCAGCAGTACAGGAGCAGCCATGTGCAAGGCCATTTAAGAGGTAAAGACTGGTGATTACATTGCCACATGTTTTTGTGCCTGGCATCATCAAAGGTCTCAACTCCTGACATCACATGCTTTCACAGCAAGATGTTTCCAATATTTAGAAATGGGCCTTGTGCATCTTATACTTCATAAAAGCTTGGAAAACTCACCTAGGTATTACCAAATCCCAAACATCTCTGCATGCTTGCCATGTTCTCCCCACAGCAAAAATCCATTCTAGGTGAAATGCTGGCTTTGGCTGCTAAGGAAGTAATCTGGGGTTGTCAAGTGTCTCTCGCTCTCTCTGGGTCTATGGCAAAAAGGCACTAAGTTTACTGCCACCTTTAGAGGAACTTGTCAAAGAAACACTCTGACTCTCCCCACCTGACTGTTATAGTGATATGCGGCCAACACCAACCTGAGTTTTTACAGCAAGTATTACATAATGATCACAATCACATTCAAGTCCACATTCTAAGTCTTAGCCAGGTTTCACAGAGACCCTGGTGGTGTCTCACAGACCTTTCAGTGGCTACAATCAATGAGTTTGGAAAATAACTTGAATTTGGCTTGCTCACTGTTTCAACAGAATGCACTGGTGAATACTGCTCTGTCATCATATCTCACATGTGTGGCTATCCCTCTCGCTGTGTTAGAAGTCAATGTTCCAGAATGCCAACTTCTAACAAATACATTTCTATAGAGCAAAGGGGAAACTATTCATGGCAAATGGAGTGTATGTTGTATCAGGGGAGCTCTCTAGTCTTGGATTTCAAACTGTAATGTTTATTGTACAGAAAGGAGATGGTTCTTTTTTATATTTTGTTTTTAATTTTTGTGGAGATGTAGTATTGGTGGGGTACATGAGAGGTTTTGATACAGGCATGCAATGTGAAACAAGCACATTGTGAAGAATGGGATATCCATCCCCCCAATCATTTATTCTTTGAGTTACAAACAATCCACTTACACTCTTTATGTTATTTTCAAATATATGATTAAGTTGTTATTGACACTACTCACCCAGTTGTGCTATCAAATAGTAGGTTGTATTCATTCTTTCTATTTTTTGGTAGCCATGAACTGTTCCCACCTCCCCCCACCCTCTCACTACCCTTCCCAACTCTGGTAAACACCCTTCTACTCTCTATGTCCATGAGTTCAATTGTTTTGATTTTTAGATTCCAGAAATAAGTGAGAATGTGTGATGTTGGTCTTTCTGTGCCTGGTTTATTTCACTTAACATAATGATGTTCAGTTCCATTCATGTTGTTGCAAATGATTGGCTTTCATTTTTGATGGCTAAATAGTACTTCATTGTATATTGGTACCACATTTTCTTTATCCATTCATCTGTTGATGGACACTTAGGTTGCTTCCAAATCTTAGTTATTGTAAACAGTGCAGCACCAAACATAAAAGTGCAGGTATCTCTTTGATAAACTGATTTCCTTTCTTTTGGGTATACACCAAGCAGTGAGATTGTTCAATGATATGGTTGATATGGCAGATCAATGTTTCGTTTTTTGAGTAGCCTTCAAACTGTTCAAGGAGACGGGCCCATTGTGATTATTTCATTGAGATATCCAACTTATGAGCATTTGAGAGGAATGCAAATTGCTGGAAAATCAGAGTGAAGAATGCAAAGTGATCAGGCTACAGTGTCCTGTCATTTTTCATTCTGAGGTGAAAAAGGTGGTGCATTTATTTATTTATATATATATATATATAATTATTATTATACTTTAAGTTCTAGGGTACATGTGCATAACGTGCAGGTTTGTTACGTATGTATACTTGTGCCATGTTGGTGTGCTGCACCCATCAACTTGTCAGCACCCATCAACTCGTCCTTTACATCAGGTATAACTCCCAAGGCAATCCCACCTCGCTCCCCTCTCACCATAATAGGCCCTGGTGTGTGATGTTCCCTTTCCCAAGTCCAAGTGATCTCATTGTTCAGTTCCCACCTATGAGTGAGAACATGCGGTGTTTGGTTTTCTGTTCTTGTGATAGTTTGCTGAGAATGATGGTTTCCAGCTGCATCCATGTCCCTACAAAGGACACAAACTCATCCTTTTTTATGGCTGCATAGTATTCCATGGTGTATATGTAAGGCGGTGCATTTAATAGTAAATGCCTTTCCAGAGTAAAATCTCAGGTGTATTGTTTTAGTGCCACAGTCTTGGACGATGGGCTCCTGGAAACTCTCAACATCTCTTCTTGAGTGGAGAAAGCGTTAAGCTCCAAAGTAGATGGAGTAGTACATTTTCACCTTTTGACAAGAGGGCAAAAACTTGATAATTTTGAGTGCTATTCAACAGTCTCTGCTTTAATTGAAAATGCAATACAAGCC